TGACTTTGTTGTGGGAAAGACGAGCCCGTCAAATGGGTTGGGAAGGGCTATAGTTTGTAAAACCGGATTGCAAGTTGTTCGGTTCAGTTCAACTACTGATTCGTCTTTCTCTGCGGTATTTATACATACAACCAAGCAAAATTGCATGGATTGTTCCTTCCCCTGTTACAGCAAAAATGATCCCTCTCTCTCACTCTCTTCCAAATGTAGTTGTACTTGTATTGCCCACAAATGGCATATAGATGTCAGATTTTGCTTTATAAACAAAATGTTAAGGATCCCTTTTCCCATTTTACTACAATGCGATGATGTTTACAATCCGCCAGTGCATTAATTCATGCAAGGGTTTTGGTGGCCTCCATAGATCACAGAAAACTGATGTTTAAGAATATACTAATCTGTAATGGGAATCAAAATAATGAGTTGAATTCCTATTACGGATTACTCATGTATTTACTTCACAGAAATGAATGGAAAAACAATTAATGGAAAAGCAATCTCATCCCAGGTTGTACTTTCATGATGAATAGAGTGGTGTTTGAGAATATACTTGCATGTCATATGTCAGCATCAAGTGTTATGACTACTCAAGCCACTCAAGTCATCAATTATATTTGAACAAACAAAACAAAATCTTGAAGGTGAAGAAATTTTGGACTCGACACAATATTCCAAGAACATGGGTTCCACAGCTATTAGCAAAACCAACGGAAACCTAAAATTACTTGAACAGGGTTTGGCAGTGAACTCATAAATGGTCTTTTCTGTCGGCGAAGGTGACACTGACAGCCAGCCATTGACTTCCTCCTCCATCTTTACGCAAAATCAAGTAATCAACGGCTCTCACTGCCTCACCGCCATTTGTTGCATGATGCTTATCCTTCCACACAACACACACAAAACATAATGATGGTCGAAGGACTGATACATATGTAAATATTAATATATAATATGTCACAAATCCAAAAGTTGCACCAAAAGACGCGGTTCGGACGGACTTTCAACGTTCATGCACTCACAAGGCACATCCAACCCCAGCTGTGAGGCTATGACGTTGAATTATTTTAAGGGGCAATAATATTTTAACATGCAGACCCATTATTATAATCTTTTTTAGATCAAACATAATATAAAAGTAGAAAAGAAAACGATGTAGATCCACCAAAAACTCAACAAATACATCTTTTCAATTAATACCTAGATCAGGGAGGAAAAACAAAAAAAGACATGATTGTCGTTTGGGGTCTGAAAACTTGACGCTTAATAGGTTTTGATTGAGTTCTTCATTCTATGAAGCTTCTGTGACTTGTATACGTGGATATACTTTGATCCATCTTGGGTTTCCAAGTTTGGGAAGTATTTTTTGAAGAGTTTTGGCGGCTAGGGTTGGATAAGTTTCTGAAAATGGAAAGTTCAGGAAGCATGAGGGTGGAGAAGAGAGGGTATGAAGAGGGCGTGGAATTGGATGATGATGCAGAAGAAGGCCACCCGCCAGAGCCAAAGAAGCAGAGATTGCCCGCTTTGGCAAGGTTTTTATTTCCTATTTTGATATTTGGATTTTATGACTTGTTTCTGCTAATTAAGGGGTAGGTGCTAATTCAATTGTAAGAATTTTTAGGCTGACTTATTTTGCATCTACACTCCCCTCTCGAATCATCTCTATGCAAGCGTTCAATATCATTTTCTTTAAAGACTATTGTTTATACAGTTCATTATTTGCAGTGTAATTGTGGAATCTTTGAAGGTAGATAGCTTGCAAAGACTTTGCTCATCTTTGGAGCCTCTTCTCCGCAGAATTGTGAGTCAGATTGTCACTCTTTGCATATTAGAGTGGAGTTGAGGTTGAAACTAGCTGCACTCAGATGATGATCAGTCCCTTCTGGGATAGCAAATCATTGTTTTCTTCCCTTTCCCACCTTTCCAAAACAATGAATTATAGCATTTCATTTTTATTTTTCCTGCAAAGTCACTTTATGCATAGTATGGCTTTCCGTGTGTTTTACTTTTCCCACTAATTTAAACAAAGAAAGCACATTAAGTTGTTAGTATCCTGCCATCGATAATGCTGAAAAAAATCTGTGGCACGTAGTATTTCCTGGCTATACTTTCTTCAAAACATTGCCTTCAGTCATATGTAAAACCATGCATTGTTTGCAGCAAGTTAGCATCCTTTTGATCATTCTGAAATTCTTTTTGAGTAACAGGTTAGTGAAGAAGTGGAGCGTGCTTTGACAAAGTTAGACCATGCTGAACTGGCTGGAAGGTTTGTTTCAACCATAGTAGTGTCTCCTTGGTTCATTTTGAGAGTCCTAGACTATGGTTCCAATTAGAATTTAAAAATATTCAAAGCAGATGTTATGCTTTCTTCTTCAGATTTTCGTAAATTATCATGTTTTGTTTCTTTCTTTCTCTGTAATGGTGTGTTGGTTGGAAGGTTGGGGTGGGAAGCCGTATCAAATTCATTGTTTGCACTTTCCAAAATACTGCAGGTCTCCACCACCAAGAATACAGGGCCCAGAAGGAAGAACTCTGCAACTACAATTCAAAACAAGAATGCCTCCTCATCTGTTCACAGGTGCAAAGGTTGAAGGAGAGCAAGGAGCAGCAATTCATGTCGTCTTGCTAGACCACAGCACAAGCACTGTTTTGCAAACAGGGCCTGAATCAGCTGCAAAACTGAATGTTGTGGTGCTGGAAGGTGACTTTAATGAGGAAGCTGATGATATTTGGACCAAAGAACACTTTGAAAACCATGAAGTAAAGGAACGTGAGGGGAAAAGGCCACTTTTGACAGGGGATCTACAAATTACTCTCAAGGAAGGGGTAGGTACTCTTGGAGATCTTACCTTCACTGACAATTCTAGCTGGACAAGGAGCAGGAAATTCAGGCTTGGTGTTAAGATTTCCCCTGGATATTGTGAGGGCATTCGTATTTGTGAGGCTAAAACAGATGCTTTTTCTGTTAAAGATCACAGGGGAGAATGTGAGTTTTCTGAAGTTTGCCATTTTAGCATTTACTAATGATAGAACAGTCTGCAGTACATATGCTAATCAAGTTAGGGGGTCTAGGAGCCACTATGTCTGCCTGGGGCAGAGAGCATAACCCAGTATTAGTTGATCAGACTCAGAATGCATTCCTCTAGTCATAATTAGGATTGATGACATAAACTTCTTGGTCATTTCGGATTCTTTCATATATCTTCCTGACTTGCAGTGTCATACATTTTGGTTAGTGTACCTTGAGTCTGATATGCCGTTATTCCTTTATATGTATTACAAAATACCTTTAAAGCTTGTCTTAATGAAGTCACTGTTTCTGCCATTTGTAGTGTACAAGAAACACTACCCACCGGCTTTGCATGACGAAGTTTGGAGATTGGATAGAATAGCAAAGGATGGAGCTCTGCACAAAAAACTGATTAAGGCTGAGATTGTAACTGTTGAAGACTTTCTTCGCCTCCTTGTCAAGGACCAACAGAAATTAAGAAGCGTAAGCATCTCTTGCATTTATCTTTAAACACCCTTCTCCCTTGCTTTTCTGGTATTCTTACTTCTAAATTTCAAAATATAGATGCTTGGGAGTGGGATGTCCAATAGGATGTGGGAAAATACAGTGGAGCATGCAAAAACTTGTGTCTTGGGTGGGAAGCTCTATGTTTACTACACTGATCAAACTCACAGCACTGGTGTTGTTTTCAACCATATTTATGAGCTCAGGGGCCTTATTGCTGATGGGCAGTTTCTTCCTTTGGAGTCGCTTACCCACAGTCAGAAGGTTGGATGTTTTTAACTATTGGGAAATGCTGTGATAATTACTTATCACTTTAAACATAGCTCACCCATTTGGAGCTCTACATGCAGGTTTCAGTGGATTCTCTGGTGAAGAGGGCATATGATAATTGGCATCAAGTCATAGAATATGATGGAAAAGTCTTACACTCTCTTGTCAGCAACAAAAAGGTTACGAGAGCCTCAGCTGCACCTGTGACTGTGGCCGACCACAACAATTATGCTATAGACCACCATTCTGCAGCTGCTCAGAATAGGCAGCAGTATACCTCTCAATTCGGCGAACAGTTCCAAACAGAAAATAACCATCCATCAGTCCCTCAGTACATTGAATTTCCATTTGTGAGGTCCGATCAAACAGCATTGATTAAATTTAATAACCCAGAACCAGCAGCATTATCTGGCAGCATGGATTACATGCCAGTTGGAGGTTCACATTTTTCAGGAGATTGGTCACGGCCAAACAACGGGAGTGGACTGGAAGATTTCGTGGCTGATGAAATCCGTTTCAGGAGTTCAGAGATGTTGGAGAGTGATGACATGCAAAGACTGCTCAAGACATTTAGTGTGGGAGTCGGTGTAGGAGCAGGAGCGGGTTTTGGTGCTTCTGATGAGGCTTGTTACAATTACAGTGTACAGTATGAGCCTCAGATAGGCCAGTCATTCAGGAAGGAGCAAGCAAAGAGCTCAGGAAAGGCTGTAGTTGGATGGCTTAAGCTCAAAGCCGCTTTAAGGTGGGGAATATTTATTAGGAAGAGAGCTGCAGAAAGGAGAGCTCAGCTCACCGAGCTAGACTGAATCAAATGCTTGAGTTGGGTCCCTCCTATGTCAACCGCCGCAGCCATCACAGATATCATTTGTGTTTGTTGATTTGAGATGCTTAATGTTCTATTTGCTTTCAAAAGTGACACGCTGAAAAGAGAATGAAAATTAGGAATTTAATTCTATTTTGGAAACTTTCAATGTTCTTTTGTCTTCTTCATCCAGAACTTGTTATTTGATACTGTATGAGGCAAGGACCACCTGGCAAATGTTATATTTTAGAAACCTCACCATTCCCATGCCAAAACAAGAAAAATATGGAACCTTTGAGCGTCGCTTTCCATTGCAACCAGAATCTCATTTTCGGGTTCCTTATTAAATGGGCAAGTGCAGATTTGACCAAGTATCAACGAGAAAGGCCCCAAAAACAGTAAGATGTTTAACAATCATTAAGCTAAAGAGTCCGTTTTTTCATCGTAAATAATTGTAAAAGGAAACAAGGAAGAAAATATGAAAAAATGATATACAGAAAGTTGACTAACTTATTATGCCATTAGCCCATTACTCCAAACAGAAGAAAGAACTGAAAACATGCGAGTTTGCTGTTTGCAACTTGCAAGGACATAAAAGTTGGCAACAGAACATGAGTAGAAGATGGGAAGAAAAACTACACGAGAGAGATGAAGAAATTACGTAATGATACAAGTTTCTCATAGAGCAGGAGTAAACTGCTGCGATGCCGCCACCATTATATCCGGCAGGAATTAGCACTAGTGTAGGCTGATCATATACATTATCCTAGAGAGTAAGCATCAAATCCAAAACTCTCCATCCATTAGCATATTCTCGTTTTGTCCCTGTACAACAGTCTTCATATTATATACTGTTGAAGAGGAGGAGAAATAAAAAGTACAAATATACAAGACAGATAAGAGACACTGAAAATAAAGTGTAACAGAAACCAGGTATTCTTTCTATAATGAGATAAATAGTAATTATTCAACTTTCCAAAGCAAACACAAAACAGAACATGTTAATATGGATAGGACACGACACTTAAACAAGCACAAAAACGTAATTTAGGTTGTATCTCTATATACAGTGCATATTTAGACATTCTCCACTCTCCAGCAAATCTCTACCACATAATAATACAGAGAAAGGAAGAAAAATAAAGGAAAATAGACCGAATCTATTACTACTAAAATAAATGCGCCTTTCAAAATTTGTGCCATGTAAATTACTGCTTATTTAACAGACTTCCATGAATCAAAATAGATACATTAATTCTAGACAAGATGCAAGACATAATGCAATGTATAGACCAGACCATATTCAACATCAAATTATAGAGCTTCTACTGGAAAAAATGAGATCTTCTTTTTAACTCCAATATGGCCTATCTTGCTTCTTTCTCAACAAAGGAAAAATGATACTGCATACATCAATAAGGATATAAGATCTAATACCCACTTCAATATGACTCAGCCAAAATAAGAGAACAAATCAATAATGGAATGGCCTTGTTATAAGCAGTTTTCTAATCATACCCCTTTCATTATCGCACCCATGATATCATTCAACGATTCATAACTATTTTGAACTAAACCATCATGCGACTTTGTTTGCTCCCACGGGTAGTCCTCACTGGGCTTCATCTTTGTTCCCATGGCAGCTTTCTCAACCTCACTGAGCTGCATGACAGTAGGAGCGGCCCCATTTAACTGGTCAAATAAAGTTGAATTCATCTTTTTACTGCAGACTGCATCACTTTGGTCCAAACTCTGGCTTAGGGGACTCACAATAACATTAGCAGAAACCGTGGGATTTGTGGCACTGAAAGTTAGATTCAAGTTGTGGTCGTAATCTCGCTTATGTTCTTCCCACCTTTGCTTTGGTGTGCAATCCATGGTTGGCACAACATCTCCAATCAAGCCTTCTTGGTTCCACATATTTCCTCTTAATTCCGCAGCAGGACCTGGAAGAACACTTAAAGACGAAAAATCATTTGGACTGTTCCCAATTTCAGGCCTAGTAGAAGAAAGACCCAAGTTATTCGCATGCAATTGACCATGATCGAAAGGCTCACTCATTGGCAAATCATTCGATGGAAACTTAGATAACTGAACTGCAACCTGCCAACTTTCACTACATCGATTGTCATCCAGAAAATTAGAGGAGATTCCAATGTCAAAAGATTCTGGATTCAATGAAGCCAAACTAAGAGAAGACCGATTTCCAAATACTCCCATACCAAGTGCTTGTTGTGGGTTCCTGTGTAATATCAAAGGACTGCTTGAAGTAATGGAATCAGAATGAATTGAGCTAACAGACACACTTGTGTCTGGAAAGCTAGAGGGTACTGAATAACTTGTTGGATCATTATTGGGATTGGACTCTCCAATGTGAGCAGTATGCTTGCCCTGCTGCAATTGATTGAGTTCTAATGATGTTGGAATTGATTCATACAAATTTGGACTTTGGTTTGCAGGCAGAGCTGGCTGGAGCTTTACAAGATTACTAATAGAGTTGCTCAAGTTTTGGGAGTGACCAGGTTGGACCAGACCAGAAGAAGTAATTCCTCGTATGCTCAAACCAGCCGGGGAGTTTAATCTACCAAGCATCCCACCTGGTGCGTATGGTGAAAAAGTGGCATTTGAGAGTCTTCGTGATCCAGCTAAGGACCGTAGATCTCCAAACCCATCTAGTGCACCCATGCGCATGTAAGAGGAATCTTTCCCCCCAAAAGCAGCAACCATGCTAGCTTGTTGGGTTGCAGTACTGCTGAGTCTTTTGAGGCAGAGCCTATATTTCTGCAACACAAAGTGAGAGCATAAGCGTGGTCGCAAAACCTAGTTTTCTGACAAGCCCAAAAGAAGTCATAGTGTTAAAACATTAAAGAATAGCTAGAATAGAACATTATCGCCATCACTTCTCTCACTAGAATGATTCTTTGAGTTGTTTCCAGATATTTCATGCTAATTGTTTGATGGTGATTACAACAACGCATTTATATACATATATTATTAAATCACATGTATATGAAAATACAGATTATTCCTGGGTCGAAAAAAATATTTGATTTCGAATTCCAGAATTCTTGCAGCAAAGTTATTCTAAAAGTAAGGCAAAGGAAATATTAGTACCTGCAGATGGCTGGCCACATTTTCCCTCGTGAGTCCTTGAACATTCATGAGGTCAAGAATTTTCTTAGGAACAGCCCCTGCATATAGATTAAGGAAGAGGGGGGGAGAAACATTAGTCAAGAAGATAATCTGTATAACAAAAGCAACACATCACTTCTCTGGAGCAGAAGACTCACTTTCAAGTCCCAACTGATGTACAGCTGCAACAAACTTTCCGTGCAGCTCTTTTGACCAAACTACCCGAGGCTTCTTTTGGGTGGATGGGTCCTCATTCTCATGTTCATCGTCTTCATATTCTTCTTCCTCATCTTCATTTTGGTCCTTTCTTTTTCTATTGAATTTTCCATTCTGATCTGAGCTGCCTGCTGGTGAAACCCCCTGTCCCCCTTCTCCAGTTTCATGGCAAGCCTTGTCTTGACTGGATGACTTGTTTTGGTCCTTGGAGTCGAACTTCTTTCTTCGGATTACATGTTGCCAGATATTCGTGAGCTCTTCCTTTCGAACAGGCTTCAACAAATAGTCACAAGCACCATGGGCGATTCCCTTCATTACAAGCTCTTTATCACTATGTCCTGACAACACTGGGACCATTTTACAACACAAAAATGATGTTAGTAACCAATTCATCTCCCACTTCTTCAACAATCACTATCTACTGCTCAACTTGAAATCGGGCCTAAGCAGGTTTTTTAGTATTAAAATAAAAGCCAGAAGTGTAACAGATACCAAAGAAAACTCAAATTATTTTTTTCACTTGCACTTAAATCCAATTCTAACAAGATTAAAAAAGTTGTATTTTACGTCCAAGGATGCAGGATAAGTTCATGCTTACTAATCACAGGTAGGTCCATTTCCAGCCCTAAGAGCTCAAGTAGCTTAAAGCCATCCATGTCTGGCATACTTACATCAGTGATCACCAGGTCAAACCTATTTCTGCTTTCCCTCAACATTAGCAGTGCCTCGACTGCCTGAGTGGTCGTAGTAACTGCAAAAACCAGAAATCACGTAAACGATTCCAGTACCAAAGTTTAACCTCTACTGGATTTAAGGGGATATTTTCGGAGCCCATTTAGTAAAACAGTGGAAAGAACCTGACGAAAACTTGAATAAACAGTTTATGAACAGGAAATTGAGACTCTGCATAGTTTTTCTACCCGAGACTATGCATAGTTTGAGTTTAACAAGCTACTTCTTCTTTTATATCTAGATAAACAAACTAATTCAAAATTAAAGAACGGAATTTACATTATACTTCACAGTCGTGCGCGCGCGCACACACACACACACACACAATTTGTTAGAACAAATTGACTAGAACTTGAAGAAAACTAAATGCAAATTCCTCCAAGGGAAAAACAATACGAGGAGAAGAAACAAACCTTGATACTGGCAATTCTGAAGGAGCCCCTCCAATAATCTGAGACAAATTGGATTGTCGTCAACAGCCAGGACACGCATACCCACCGGGAAACGGTCCATAGCCCCATCCTCACCAACCAAACCTCCCCTCTGGGCCTTCACAGTCATAGTGGATCAACAACTTCAAAGAGCGTGAGGAGAAAACAGAGATTAAGGGCTCGAGCAAAAGCTGCAGTTTTTATTAACAGATTCAACTTTCCGGGTCTTTTTTCAACAACCCCAGAAAAGAAAGAACATGAACAAATAGACCAGAAGAAGAAATGGAGAGGGATAAAAAAAATTTAAAAACTAAGAAAATGGCTAGAGAGAGAAAATGTGAGTAGAAGTAAAAGCTGTAGAAACGGACAATGATGGTGATGGCCAGAAGAACAGAGTGAACTAGAAATCTTTTTAGTATTTTAAGTGAAAGTCTCTCTCTCTCTCTCTCTCTCAGATTGTTTGTTCTTGTCTCTCTTCTGCGTCCTTGTCTTCCGCTTTTTCTTCTAAATACAACAGAAAAGCCTTTATCTTTAATGGATTTTATAATACAAAGCTTGTCTTCTCTCAAGCTGTGTTCCTGTTTTTTTAATTAGGTAAACTCTTTCCTCTTATCTCATCTCTCTGATATATGTATATGATGTCCATAACAGGTCAATGGACCCTATCATTTTGGCATTTAATATTTAATCACCAACTCATGAATGTTTTTTTTGGCATCCTGTTTAGTCAATGTGAAATTTTGAAATGCATCTTAGGGTTATTACTGGTTTTAGCAGCAGCAACGCCTGTGATAAGTCAGCTTCTAATGGAAATGGCGGGTAAAACGGTCCGTCGGATTTGGGGTATTATTATGGCAAGTCAGAGGACATTCTGTTTAGGTTACTTCGACACCGACTGCCCTAATTTCTTGGGCATTTAATGCAAATTATCCTTAAATTTTCTGTTTTTGGTAAATTAATTGTATCTACCCGCAAAAATTCCTTATAGGTCTTATTTTACAATGTGTTTCCTCTTTTGAGTATGGCGGGGGCACTATTTTTATGTTCATAATGAAGGGTGGAGTATAATTAACGTATAATTGGGTATTATTATTTATTACTTATTACTAGGAGGAGCGTGTATTTCACATTTCCAGAAAGAGAGTCTCAAACTTTGAGCTGAATAAAGTGCCAAAAATAGTACACAACCGAAGCCATCTCAGTATGTGTTAGGACAATGCCACGTTTCGGATTGTCATTGGGAGACTGGGTCCTCGGTGGGACCCGCTTTAGATTCCAGGGACCCCTGAAGACCAGAACCAGAACCAGAACCAGAAAGAAATGCAGCCTTCACGAGAAACGACACGTCGGTCCCAGGATATGAGTAAGAGAGAAAGAGTACATAAATAAGTTAGGAAGGAAAATTACATAAGCTCATGTGGGCTCCGCTGCTCACATGGTTGATTTGATGGTTACGGGCCTCTGGCTTTAAAGGTCACGTGACCTCAGAGCAGCTGAGCTCAAGGAGTGGATTTATTCAATTTCCCATTGACTTTATTTATTTAGGGTTAAATTGGGAAAAGGCTATCATATCTTTCACTCAGAAATTAGCAATCAGTAGTAATGAGAATTCGTTATATTAATAATAACAATAATGACTAAATGAATAACCTCATAATGTGGAATTGATTCATTTCAAACATTTGTTCAATCTCAATACAATCCATCCAACAACTGCGACTACATGTAAATGAACTTAAAGCGATTAACCAATTCCAGACTAAAAGAAAGAACAAGAGGTCATGAACATACCCAAATTTTTTGATACCAACATTTTTTTTAATTTTTTTAATATATATTTTTGTTTCTAAGAACGCAGCCCAAATTCTTTTATCAGTGATGTGCAATGCAAGAACCACTTGAGAAACATGCTATTTTAATATGGTCTGCCACTTAAAGAACATATATGCTTCCACCTCTCCTAGTTTCCTTATGCTACCACTATTGGATTGACCCTTCCTTCCTTCATGGTTCAGCTTTAGCAAAGTCTAAGTAGTAATTATTTATGTCTTATTAGTACTTGAGTGCACAAAACATGCTACAACAACTGATGCAGCAGGCTTATTAAAATTGTTTTGAAGATAAAAAGTCAAATCAAAGCTAACTAATTATATATAGATGGACATTCTCCAATAAGCATTTAAGTTAATGATTAATTACATACTTTTAATTTCGGGCGTTAGATTGCGTCTAAGAGATTACTAACACATTTAACGAATGCAATCCAACGCCCAAAATTAGAAATATGTAACAAATCCTTAACATAAAATACTTTTTAAAGAATCTCCCTATATATATATATATATATACGGTCCCCTTCTAATCCAAACCGTCTATTTTGTAAATATTCATTTAAAGATTATATCTACAAAAAAAAATAACTTGAATCCGATATCATTTGACCACTGAATTTAATTATTGAAATTTTAGTACTTTCTTGAAGCACCATGTTCATTTATTTTGTAGGATATAATTAGATGTCGAAAGGGTTTCTGATTTGTGTAATTTTTTACAAGGATGATCTATGAATGTAGACTTAAAAAACATATGGTTTGGATTGTATATATGTATATATATAAATTAATAGAGTACGAAGTTCTATTGGGCCAAGAACGTAAATCAAAGCAACCCATGTATTTTCTCTACTGAAGTTGATGATAATCTCTTTACATGGAGATAGCGCTCAGTGCTTTAAATTATACAAGAAACCCCAGATCAGGAACCAAACCCCTAGAAATTGTACATGTAAGTTCATTCCCTATCTCAAAAAATGGTCATCTGAACTGAACTAGATCTGGATCAAACATTCTAGGTATGATTCCTCCTATCTGTTCCTCTACCAAGAAAAATAGCTATTCGTGTAGACAGGGTGACAATGCAGTGGAACTCTCTGTTTCCATTCCCTACTTCTCAACTGATATCAAGAAAACCAGCTATTTTTTTCCAAATCTCAAGCACTTGTTGTGTTTTACTTCCGTGATACTTGGGTTAGAAGTGAGTTGTTTCTTCGTTTGTTTAGCAAGCGAAAGTTTCTCCATCGCATTTATGAATTTGCGTAAGTGCTTAATGTACTCAGGATATGTTTCGAGATTGCAGTGGCCTCCACCCTTGACCCATAAGGGATCATACTTTTCCTTGGAAAGTTCCCATAAACGCTTTCCATGGGACCAATCAACAATTTCATCATCTGTTCCCTGCAAAATAGTCCGTTTAAACATGCATCACCAATGGCAGCATATCGATCAATCAAATCAGAAGCAACCATTCATACGAGAACAATGGGAATCTGAATAAAGCCACAAAGTGTAAGATCTTTCAATTGCAAGCTTAGGATTACACATATTGTTGTAATTGTTAAAGTTAAAGCCTTTTGTTAGGAATTAAATCCAAAGGTGGTGTCTAACTGTAATTTTTCCTTTCACTAATCACAACAGGTTCTTGATACTGATATAAAATCTACTTTATCTATGATAATGTTTTTGATAAGTTTTTCACTTCTTAAAATCATTTATAAAAGTATCCATTAATGTGAAATACGTATAATTGTAATATTTGGTAGTTCCTGTAGGAGTTTACTATTTTGTATCCAAATTTCCATTATTTAACAAGGAAACTTCACATGTAGGATCAATTCCAAGCTTCCTGGCCTCTTTATGAACTACCAGAAAAGAATCTTTTACCAGTCCTTTCCAAATGGCAACTGACATTAGTCTGGTTGAGGAAACAAGCAACAAAAGCATATGAATTAAGCCAGCTCTAGTATTATTTTTTCTTTTCTTCCTTTCTTCCTTTCTTTTTGGACAGATGAAACTTATTCAATTCCAAAGAAAAACGTTGTTCAGTTTAGTTGATAACAAAATAGCTTTTCATTCTTAAGTTATGACTCTTTAATGTTTTTCATCAAACAGAAGTTAAGAAAAAGGTGAGGAGGGAGGAGAAAACAATAGAACCACAGCACAAATACTTTGAATTATAAAAGAATGGTACTCAAACAAAATAATTGAAGGGAATAAGTACTTACATGTATAACTAAAACCGTACAGTTGACGTGCCGTATTTTGTCTATATTCTGAAAATATTGCAGAGGGATTTTCAGTACAAGTTCAATAAACTGAGCTCTGTAGCAGCAGAATAAGAGATTCAAAGAACAGCTTACTTTGAAAATGTCAAACCAAAACGTCAACTTGACGGGATACAAGACTCGTATGCCTGACAGGATGGCACTATGAAGAACAACGGCTCTCAGTTTCTGTAAGCGAGAACCCAAGTGCAGTGTTGGTCCGCTTCCAACAGATTGGCCATACAGTATCAAATCCTCTTGTCTTATTTCGTAGTCGTTCTTTAAACAATCGTACACAGCTTCTATGTCATAATATGTGTTGAACTCAGATGGCTAAAAATTTACCAACATTAACACTTTTCAGTCATAGAGTTTGCAATTCAATGCAGGTCAATAGATTGACAGAAGGATGTAAATTTAAGATTTTAAATCAAATAAATAAATCCTATAGTTCTGTAATGTCATATTTCAGAGCCTGCACTAAACTTCCAAATCAAAGAGAAACTTTCATGGATTACTTAACACTGACTTACCTTACCAGTTGATGCTCCATATCCTGAATAGTCATAGCTGCCACAAAGAAAAATATCTGACGTAAATAATATGGGAAGGTTCATAACTACTGCAGCACAGAGCATCAGAAAACTCATAGCATATCAGCTGCCTGCGTGTTACATTCAAAGTTCCTGACTTTTTTTTTCTTTTTTTGAATGTTACATTCAAAGATTCTCATTGGCTGTTTGACCACATTTTACAAATAATAAATAAATAAATACAGAATGGACTCTCAAGTACGTAATAAATGCTGGCATAGTAACATTCTATCCTATGCGTCCATTCCAACTCCCAAACCCCACCAAAAAATGAAATAAAAAATTTAAAGCTCCATGGCCGATCAAAAATTTAAAGCTTAAACAAGTATCTATGAGTTAGAACAGACAAAAACAGAAGACTAACAAAATGAAAATAAGTCTGTACTCGCCTCCATTGTTTACTAGAAAAACCAATGTTGAAATTTCAAATAGAATACTGGATTACAGATCATTTTCTGTTTGGTCTCTTTTTGAAGGAGTCAGGCTCACGCCAGACGGAACGGAAATGAAAAGATTATGATGCCGGCAGCTTTAAGCCTGCCATTAATCAAACTTTAAAAGCTGAAATGATCTCCGGATACGCAGAGAAACAAATGAAACAGAGGAAACAAGCAAAGCAAGCACAGGACCGTTCATATTTCATCCAAATTCAGAAATCAATCCAAACAAAACGAGGAAAATAATCAATAAACTGAAAATTTGAAACCGATAACAAATTCAAGATACTGTATGAGGAGTGTTCAATCAATATTTTTTAAAGCAAAAAAAGGAAACAAAAGGAGAAACTACCTTGCAAATAACAGATTGGCCAAAACCCAAAGGCCCATTTCAGATTAATAAAAAACCAAGCCAACCCATCAAAATCCAGAATAGATTTCCAAAACAAGCAAAAAGCAAAGCAACACAAGAAGAAGAAGAAGAAAAAAAAGGGGAAAAATGAAGGAGAAATATAATAGAATTAATACCTCATAATATTGACACGCAGGTGAGCCCTGAGCTCAATGAAGAGCTCGTGCATCTGACCCAAGTCAGCAGCATTACCATGCGAGTAGAGAAGCGTGAACCTGGCAAAAGGGTGCTTCCAAAACGTGGCAACGATCTTGTTCCCTGCTTTTGTATCAAGCAAATGCACTTCCATGTTCTTGTCAGCTGTAACTCCCGAGAACACAAGCTTACCGCCGTCGTCTTTGTGCACATCATAGGTGGGTGGGTCTGGAGGGAAAAATGCAAACTTTGCAGCCACACCCGACGTTACATTGCCCATTAACACAGATCACCAATTGGGATATGTGGTTCAGGCATGAAACAGAGCTCAGGCTAAAATGGTGGGGGTTGAGTTTTTTTAAAATCTTTTATCTGAGCTTGGTTGTGTTGTTGTTCATTATGAAATTAAAAGCCAAAACCAATAATGGGGTTTTCTTTCTTTTTGGTGTTTAATTTTTTGAGGTGGGGTGGGGTGGGGGGTTTTGGTTTGTGTGAATTTTTTTACTGGGGATGATGGAAAGGCAAAGCAGGTGGCGTCAGATGAAATTAAAGGTGAAAGAGGAGGGCAGGGGGGTGGCAGAAAATAGATCCGATCTAAGCGGGTGAGCTGGAAATGATGTTGTTGGAGAGGAACAAAGATGAAAGACTGAGAATCTCAACACAGAATCCGCACATTACATCTTATTATTGCATCTCCTCTTGTCTTGTGCATTCTCTTCTCCTCTCTCTCTCTCTCTCTCTCTCTCTCTCTCTCTCTCTCTCTTGTATTATAATTAATAATTAATAATTAATAATTAATAATAATATGAATCATGATTAGGATTATTATTATTGTAAGTATATACTTTAATTTTGTTTAGTTTTATTATTTCTAAGGGAATAACTTAAAGATCGATCATCGATTTATGTTGTTATTTTGTAAATAACAAGAAACAAGAGGTTGGTTGATGATGTGATTTGTATGTATGTTATGTGCAATTTACAACTTCTCTCTCTCTATTTTTATCACTTCCTTTGTTTCGACAGGAAAACTAGATATCAAATGTCATATTTGCCCCGCAACATAAATTGTGGACATCAATGAAAATTGGTTGAATTCAAAAACTGATAAAGACGGTTGGATTCACCACTTTCACAAAATTAAATTAAATAATTATCATTAATTTATGACTTTCAGTTATTCACCCTTCAGCTGCAAAACCAGATTATTCATAATCACTGTTTACGTAAGAAAAAAAAATATATATTAAATTAACACATCTGACTTATGACATATTCATTCACCATAAATCCTAAATAAAAGCAAAAATATTTATAATTTAGGTCAGTAATGTTGCATGTTAAATTATTTGGTAAAACAAAATCTCTATATACATGATATATAAACCATGGTTAATTATGTATTTATTCGACCAAAAATTGGTTATGTATTTATGTATTTTATAATTAAAGAAAAACGTTTCTTATTCGAGAAATAACAAGAGAAGGGGAAGATCACAAGGAAGTGGACGGATGGACGGGCGAGATTCGGTCAAAGACTGTCGAGGATCTTCGAAGAAAGGGAGAAGTGCAGCAGAAATGTCAGAGTCTGACATTCCTCATTTTGCTTGCTTTGTTGGGCCAATATTTTACCAAAAATATGACACTTTGGGTTGGTTTGCCTTTCTCTCATTCAGTCAATTCACAACTGCCCCGCCCCACAAGCTTTGACCCAAATTACCCACTTAAACCCCATTTTCCTCGCTTATTATTAGTTTTAGATCCAAAATCAATTATGTTCCTAGAATTATAACCCATATATGCAGAACTGAGAAAGACTTTCAAGAAACGGGAATAACACAATTCTGTTATTCTCGACTAATAACCCTTTTTTTTTTGTCTAAATTGATTTGCCTAAAAAGGGGAAGATCACAAGTGGAAAGTTGGGAAGTTTTGGGATGTAGGGGTGTATTCAACTAAGATTGTAATTGTTATTAGTAACTCTTGAAATTATTCTAATCTAATGATAGGTACAAGGTTGTAAAGTAGTAATTGTGCCTAATACAGTTCGACATATTGATATTAAATTAGTCAGGGGGAATTTTCCCATTTTCAATTCACAGGGCAAACTTGCTTTAGGTGATTATGGAGTAGGTCCAATAATAGCTACTTCTGTGTATTTCCAAATAAACCAAAAAAAAAAAAAAAAAGTAAAAACCTTTAGGTCAAACATAGAAATTTCCGAATTTTTTAAAGCATTTAGAGAAAAAATTAATGGTTAATAAATTAATTGTGAGTTTGAGATGAGATAAATGTATTTCTTATTTTTTGATGGGTCCTGCTGCACAAGGATAATAGTTTCTTTGAATTGAAATGGCCCAGATGGGGGGTATCATCAAGAAATGAGTTGACTGGCCTTTAGCAGTAGAGTAGGGCACCTCGTGCTTTAACAAATTTGATAATTATAATCTCATTGAAGTTAATCCCTATGGTTAGTTGACTATGATTAGGGGACTGAAGTTGACAAATTATGAGTAATTGAGTGATTTTGGACCAATAACAACAGTCAATAAGTAAAGTGAATAGTACAGCCAAAGGTTTAGGGTAAGTCTTAATTCTGTGCACTAACCAAGGAAAAGAAATTTGGGTCAAAAAAGCAATAGATTGCTTGGAAAATGTGCACTAAGCAAAGGGAAAAGAGAGAAATGCAATAATAAGATGTTGATAAGAAAACAAAAGAAAAAAATAAAGAAGAAAGAGCATCATTTGTGTTCTGTACCATCACTTGCTTGACATAATTGCAAAATTGAGGAAATTTATGAAATGGTTAATCAGTTTTCAAGTTAATTAAGTTTGATTAACAGATCAAAGGGGGAAACAAAAGGTTCCTTTGCTAATGGTGGCCATCAAATCAGCTAAAAGATTGGTTATCTCAGGCAACCAAAAGGCACGGATGAGATTCTTTACCAACCACATCATACATTTGCCTTGCCTCCCTCACTAATCTACTGAAATTATAACACAGAGGGTCCACAAAAGGTAAAATCCATACAGGTCAGTTTTTCATTACTTGCATTGGGAAGAACAACTAGTTTTGGCACGTTGAGGAACTCTCGGACTGAAAAGGTCGTTGAGCGCCAACCAACATCATCCAACATTGAATTTGATCAAGTTTGGCAAACCAAATAGCAACAGAATGTCAATGCTCCTGTGCTTGTGCTTGCTTCGATTATTTTTAATGAAATTGAGACATAAGTAAGATTTTATAGAAATGAGTTTCATGTTCATACAAACTTGATTTGTTTTGTTTGGAAACCTAATAGCATATACATCCAACAGGGTTAAACAACTATTTTCCTTTACCTCAGGATATTGTGGACAGATAACGTACTTCCATACATACAAATATGGATGATACTAAAATCAAAACCAGAGAAATCTAATGGGCGCTGTTGAATAACATGTGCTCCTCTTCCAATGCGATTCTATCGCCGACAACTGAAACCCAACTTTCAACAATTTTATCTACTGCTCCGTCCACAATCTCCACTATAGTGAAGGCACGGATGGTGCCACAGGACTCTGGTGTTGAAAGATGGGGTTCTTTATTCACAAATTCATCATTTAGTCTCTTAACCCTCGGAACAATGGCCCCATTCAGGTATATAGTGTTGTCAGCTCCAACCACTATCATTTTCCGAAGACCATTTCCATCTGCTAGCTGTTTATGCATGTGACCAAACACTACCAATGGACCACAGATTTTTCCGGTCTCTTTTAAGAAGGACAGGGCTTGTGCTAGATCTGCACCAGAAGAACAAGTGTTCATGTTATTACATCTTAATATAGATGAACAAAACACATGAAGGACGTAACTCACCTCCTTTCCATAACCAGACTCTTAGATTCGTCGGGTCACCAGTCACATGCAGCAACCCAAAAGACCCAGTAGGAAGTGACATCAATTTAACGTCTAAAACTATGTTTACAAAAATAACAAAAACCCTTTCAGTGATTCACTGAAGAGGTTCGGATCATGCCTTTATGGGGTTGGCAACCTAAACGTAGAGATGCATACCAATGTAGAGCCAATAGCTTAATTATCACCTGGGTCACCATGATCTCCGCCTCCATACACCCAATCTTTTCCGCATATGTCATCCAAGTTAGAACCAAGACCTGCACAAAGAGTGAACTCAGAAATTTGCATTTACATGAAGTAACAAAATTTCCCTAAAAAGCCAGATTACGATTTATTTCAGCAGAGCAGACTGATAAACCTGTGGGGCCATTATGTGCAAGAAGTATGACTAAATGGTCCTCTGGAGCACCCAAAGCTGCTTTGCATATTCTCTTAGCACTTCCATCCATGTCTTGGACCCCATACCTAAGAGGTTGTTTCAACACATCATTTAAGCCATCATTGAGGAGAACACAAGGTTTTTCTGATGAATTTTCCATCATAAATGTGACCCATGCATAGTATCATGAAAAATGGTTACAAATTTTTGGATAAGAGGCCAAGAAAATTGATAAAACTCTAGTTTCATGTTTAATCAACAGCTGCTAAAACCATTACACACCTCGCAGACAGAAGCTTTGGCCGAAACAACTGCTGTCCCCCACAAGAAAACGGTCGCCCACCAACAACGCTCAGTTTTACCACAGGAAAGTCCAAACACCGATAAGCTACATGCTCCTCACCGAGACTGAGCATTACAAGTATTATCACTTAACAACACAATTAACTTACAGCTGCAACAACGTAAGAATAACATGTAGCCTTCCAAATGTAAATAATTCGTTCACCCAACGTTCCATCATTTAGGACTGTTGGAACTGTTTGACCTGATTTTGTTCATTAATGTCCATTTCAGCCTGGTTTACTAGCGATATCATCTCATGTCAAACTAAAATCTCTCCTCTGACCAAATTTGAGCTTCTTTTGGTTCCCTGGAAGCAGTTGAAAATTAACTTTGAAAGCCAATCAATATGACACAATCTACACCAATCTATGAAAAGGACTGAAATACTATAGTTGGCATTAGCGTATGCGAAAGAATCCTCAAATTCTGGGGAATTTGGTTTTTAAAAGGAAAATCATAAAGAGCATGATTGAAAAACTTGTGTCAGATACATTCTTCACTCTAACATTTTCAATGCATTGCAAAACAAGGAAAAACAATTAAAACAATATAATATTTCATTGGCAACCATGACATCTGTATGCAACTGTGAATACATTGAATTGATATAAATATAGTATAACAGGAAAAAATACTATCTTTTAATGTGAATGACAAGTAATAATTGATAAAAAAAAAGACGTAACACAAATGGTAGTTTCAGAATGTTTGACAATCATGAAGATAAGACAAGCTCACCATTCTAGCTGAAGTTGAACGCCATCTTTTTTCCTGATATTCAAAATTAAAATATCAAATTAACCAGATTATCATAAACTCAGAATTAGAATTACATCAACATACTTGATGATGCAAAGGCACACAGAATAGGGGCGGGGCGGGAGTGAAGGGATAGATAGATCAGTTGAGGTACACTCTAAACTCACCATATTAATAGTTACATGCTTGACTATACTAGACTGTGTGACTACAGGAATTAAGAATTAAAGACTATTCAAACATATGGAAACACTATCCAGAACTTACTTTCCAGAAAACTGTTTTGTATGCCAGGCATCATGGTTTCCCAGAATAACTGCTTTAGCAAATCCGAGCTCTGCAACGCTCTGAACGAGTTCAACGCTCTCTTCACCAAAATCACCTGAACAAAAACAGACTAACTATAGGTTTACATAAAACAAATAACCGACTACGCTAGTGCAGAAACAAGAAATCAATTTAGATCACACATGGCTAAATGTCTTAATTTGATTTAGCTTTTTTCTGATAACTTATTTATCTTAACCTTTACAACACTTAAGGTCATGTCATGAATTTATCAAACATGCAAATGACAAATGTGGTGTGTGCCGGTGCGATGTCAACCATGAACAGAGATCTCTTTCGTATATTCTGAAGTAGCTTAGTAACCAATGTGGAAACAAAAGAAAGTGAAGGAGCTGAAAATCGAAAGTGAGAAGCACCGAAAAACGTTAGGTAGATGAATAGTCAGGGAGAATGGAACCTGCCTGTAAAAAGAACCAAATCGGGCTGCAGTTCAATAAAGTTATAAACTCATATTAGATTTCTTTGTAGGAAATACAACTTTTTGATAAAAACGTAAAAAAAATGTATAACTACAACAAGAACACAAAATCAATAACAAAAAAGAACTTATATTTCAAGCAAGCATTCAAACAAGTGCCGCTCGCGATTGCAGACCGGCGTGTATAATAGTGCCCCAAACTAAAAACTTTCAATACCTACAAATACTGTCCAATTCTGGTTCAAAGTTTCTACTTGTAAAAAGACTCCGAAACCTCGAATTTCAGCTTAAACTCGAGCTTAGCCAAACAAAAGCTAATACATCTTAAAAAGCTTAGCTAAACATAACTCCAGCACAGCCTTAGCCAAGCCAAGGCAAATCAAAATCAAACTCTTTCTAAAGTTAACCACGAAATTTACTCTATATTTATCTCCCAAATAACTAAAGATTATATCTTTTATAGTAGAAGAAAATATAGAGGGAAATGCACACCTGCAGCAGTTCAAGTGCCTTCGTATCTTCTTCTAGATTCCACTGATCATGCTTCAGAAGCCAAAATAATAATAAAAAGGTGAAATTTGAGAAGCAAACAAAACGAATTTGTCTATAAAAAGAATCAGCAGGCCAGGGCACGGTTTCAAAAATCCAGACACAGACAGAAAGAAAGAGAGAGTCTTACGACGTCGCCGACAATTGCTATTCGAGCTGAGCTACGAGCTGAGGCGGTGGCCATGGAGGCGCGTGTGGCGATGTGCTTGGACAAAGGGTTGGAAGACGAACCGGAGGGAGAACACACGGTGGGAGCGTGTACCAACGTGCTTAGCATTACCTCTCTAGAGTCTAGTCTCGCTATCTCTCCAGCGTGTACCAACGTCAACTTAATTGTTGAATTCGTGAGATCTGATCGTTCACGTGGCAACGGCAACGTGTTTTGAAACCGTTGGATTTATTTGTGGGTCCAACCGATTAAGAGCATGTACTGCACGTGCACGTTATCATGTACTTCACGTGCTTTTTTTTTTGGGGTGGACTTTCACATGTTTAAAGAAAAACAAAAGAACAAGCAATTATTTTATTTTATTTTTTATACAAGTAATATTGAAAAAGAAACCTAGAACCTTGAATGGAGAAGGGGTACATCCTAATCACTTGAATTATAAACCTTTGCAAGAACAAGCAAATGTGCACATTCCCCACCACTGAATTATAATTTGAGCGATATACCAAGTTTGTAATGTCACATGTGTTACGATAGCATACAAAAGTTTTTCGTTTTGACAAGTCATAAATCACCATGTGTTTAAACAAATTGATTGCAGTCACGTAAGTTTAGTTCATCATATCTCTTAAAATCACTTGCTTTGTTCTTCTGATTTCTTGTGATGTCACTCATTTATTGTATTACCCAATTTCTGTATACTATCTCTCAATCAGACAAAACTGTCTTCATCAAATCCATGTGAGAGTTAAATCCTTGTTCTAAGTACTATAAGGTAGGTACTTTACCATTCGAATTGTAAATCCACGTTGGTATCTCTTGTTCTAATAATAAGTATCTCATTCTTATTCATATGGCTCAAACCTTCCAGCAGTCAAACCCTTGCCATGGCAAAGAGGGGCTAGAGCAGAGACTATTCACGTGAATAGTGTATGCCTTTGTAAAAAGTAAATTGCACTTCCAGCAGTTGCCATGGCAAAGGGCAAGTACTATTCAATTTTTTGTTTTTTTTCACAAATTTGTTTACCTCAACAATTAATTTGGACAATATTTTCGGATGAGATTTTCTGATAAAATATTCGGATAAGATTTTCGGTTTCAAATTTCAGATAAATTTTTGTTTCAAATTTCAGATAAATTTCAAATTTTCAATTTCATATAAATTTCATCGGAATTTCAAAAAGGAATTTTATTTAATAGTTTCTTTGATAGAGAAATTTTTATGCTTTGGTTGTGGTTTGTTTGTTTTTATATTTTTAATGCTTTGGTTGTGGTTAGTTTTTTTATATATGGAATGTTTGAATAAAAGAATTTTATTTAATAGTTTCTTTGATAGAGAAAAATTAAAATTGAAAGTGAAAAAAAATTTAGAGTAGAAAGTGAATTTGTTGTTAAAAGTGAAGAGTAGGGATTGGTATTTATAGAAAAAAATTCAGTATTTTTTGGGGTTTTAAAAAAAATTTACGATTTTTTTCATAATTTTTTGCCTTGAAAACATCCAGGCCGTTGGATTGGATGAAAAATCGGAAATCGGAGGACCAAATTGCACCACGTGGCAAAGGACAGCTGACGCGCGCGCAGCAAATTGTCACGCGCCAACGGTAAAAAAAATTTAAACCCGCCTGCTGACGTCACGCTGGCATCAGCAATGACGTCAGCCGTGACCTCAGGCCAGCACTCGAGCTCCCCTACCTTCGGGCCAACCCAGGCTAGTGGACCCCATCCTGTTCGGGCCAGCCTCTATTGCTAGAACTTGACTTTGGGCTCTTGCCCCAACCAACCCCCCCCAAAACAAAAGAGCCCGAGCCCTGGGGGCCTGCTGGAAGTGGCCTTAAAGTTTCCTTTAACCATCTCACGCGTAGGACCACCATGGACTACAACATTTGGGTTTTGGACCTCCCTAACCAGAAGGGATGCCAGTTGCTCATCTAAAGTCCAATCTTTCAAGTAGGCCATTATAATTTATAGGGGTTATAAATAGCAATTCACGAGATGTCAACTATATCTTATAAGATAAGATCCCTCTAACTCTTACTTTTGGATGAATAAAGATGTTCGCATTGTGGATAAGAATCGGTTTCTGGAAGTTTCTTACCAATGTATTTGATGTTTATACACTACATACGTCATTACCAATCGGCAAAAATAAGTCATAACTCAAGAACATGATATGTTTGGTATGGTCCGCTCAATCTACGCCAATGGCACCGCACAAAAGTCTCTTAAGGCAACTTTCTTTATTCAAAAGTCCAAAGTCCAATATATAATTTTACACGCGACTTTGCATCATCTTGTGTTGTGTGTCTATATATACACAAAAAAGATCGTCATAACAATAAGCAAGCAAGAACTATTTCCTCTTTCATCCATTTGCTGCAATGTCTTCCAAGTTAACCCTTCCATTGATCCTTCTTTCGGGTCTCGTTTTCCTTGCCCAACTCAGCTTCTCAACCGGCCAAACTGTGGTTAAAGGCGCTTACTGGTTTCCTGACAGTGGCTTCCCAGCCTCCAGCATAAATTCCAGCCTTTTCACTCATCTATTTTGCGCATTTGCTGATCTTAATTCCGCCAATTACCAAGTCACCGTTTCTTCCTCAAACTCAGCCCCCTTCTCAAGCTTCACACAAACAGTCCAAAAAAACAACCCTGCAGTGAAAACCCTCTTATCCATTGGCGGAGGAAATGCTGATCCAGCAACCTTTGCCGCAATGGCCAGCCAAGCCAGCCGGCGCAAATCGTTCATTAACTCCTCCATCACGTTAGCAAGGTCTTACAACTTCCACGGCCTAGACCTCGACTGGGAATATCCATCCTCCACCACTGAGATGACCAACTTGGGCAGCCTTCTCACCGAGTGGCGAGCTGCAGTGGCCAATGAGTCCAAGGCCTCTGGCAAGACTGCTTTGCTTTTAGCCGCCGCTGTCTTTCGCTCTGCAGATTACTACACCATAAATTACCCCTTCCAGGCCATATCAAACAGTTTAGACTGGATCAATGTCATGGCTTATGACTTCTACGGCCCTGGTTGGTCCCCAAACAACACCGGACCACCTGCTGCATTGTACAACAGTCAGGTTAGCGGGAATGCTGGTATCACATCCTGGATTCAAGCAGGTTTGGCTGCCAAAAAGATAGTGCTAGGCCTTCCCTTTTATGGCTATGCATGGCGTTTATTGAACGCGAATAACCACGACCTTTATGCTCCTGCTAATGGATCGGCTATAGGGCAATACGGGGATCAAGGCTACAACCAAATAAGAAATTTCATAAGCCAGAATGGGGCACAAACAGTGTACAATGCCACGGTTGTTACAAACTATTGCTACTCAGGAACAACATGGATTGGTTATGATGATACGCAGAGCATCTCTGCAAAGGTTTCATATGCCAAGGTAACAAAAGGGCTTCTTGGTTACTTTGCGTGGCATGTTGGCGCTGACAACAGTAATTGGGCTCTTTCTCAAACAGGTTAGTAACAACACCAGTAATTTGCATAATATATATGAATTTAATTCTTCTAAATTCAATAATACAATATGTGGTTGTGTAATTTTTGGCTGAACAAGACGATAACTATTTGTTTAGTAGCACTAATTACTGTTGATTGATTTAACTATATGATTTGTTTTTTTTCCCTTCTTGCAGCTTCAAGCACATGGGGATGAGCACAAAGATTACAGTTACTGCTGATATGATACATATACGTTAATTACCTAAAATAAGACCACGCTCTGTATCCAGATAGAGCTGTTACTTGCAATAAGACTAAGCGACCAGATAAACAATAAGATTTCCAATTTCTGTTTATTCTTCCATTAATGTCATGTAGACTTCCATTCCAACTTTAAAAATGCATGCTGCTAGCCTAGCCGTGTTTTCACCGGAAATTGAAAATCAAATATTAAATTAAACAAACTATCTTGGGCTCAGAATCAGAATTATATCAACCTAGTTGATGCAACTTGCAAGTGCAAAACCAACTCATTCAAGTAATTGTTGATCTATCTCAAATCATTTTTTCATCACACGAGGATATTTTTCAGCCATGTTCTGCTATTTTCCACTACTCGTTATCACAAAAAAGGAAAAGAAGAAAGAAAAACAAATACAAATGGGATTACAACTTTATCATTAATGTGTTTGTTGATGGAGAACAATTAATAGGCATCAGCACATTGGTCTTATTGTGGAGAAAGCAAATCACATCATCTTCTGGTAGGAAAAGTAGTGTCCCTATGCTCCCCATGCGCATGAAGCTGCAAACAAATTTAACACACATCATTAGGCATCATCAGTACAATTAATTAATGATGAAAAACATGATTGGGAAGCTTTTAAATGCTTAGTTGAATACATACCTGCATCTGATGAAAGAGTCCAATTGACATGGATCCCAGTAGTCCTTTTCGCTTAGCATACCAAACTTTGGTAGTGATACTCTGCCTATCATCATAACCAATCCAAGTCTTCCCAGTATAGGAATAGTCCATAACAAGTGTAGAATTAAACACAGTTGGTGCACCATTCTCAGCTATATATGCCTTGATTAGGTTGTAACCCGCTGATCCATCCGGCGGTACTGCCATTCCACTGGCTGGTGCAAAAATACCATGCTGATTTGGATCCGTTAGGTTCCATGCTAGCCATAAAATGGAAGACCAAATGCAATCGTTTTTGGAGGCACACCTGCCTGAAGCCAATCACTGATCCCAGAATCCCCGGTGGCTATACTAATTTTCAGAATCATTAATAAAACCACGTATAGCCGACCGGCTATACTATTTTTATATTAAAAAAGAGAGAACCCGCCTAGTGAATAGGTGCCGCGTTTTCAAATAGGTATAGCCGGACATGTCAAAATCAGTACAGCCGCCCGGCTATACTATTTTAAAAAAAATCAAGACAGAGTATAGCCGAAGAAAAACCGAGTATAGCCGACCGGCTATACTATTTAAAAAAGACCACGTGTCAAAATATTAGAAACAGTGATAAAACCAAGTATAGCCGAGTACTATTTTTTTTTCAAAAAACCGAGTATAGCCGTCCGGCTATACTATTTATATACCAAAAACCCGACTTTTAGTTTATTGTCTCTCTCTCCTCTGAGCCGTCGCCTCCTTCGCGTATAGCCTCCCGGCTATACTATTTTTTAAGAAAAATGACCCGCTCAGCTCTGAAGAGCCAACGTGTCAAAATCCGTACAGCCGCCCGGCTATACTATTTTTAAAAAAAATTAAGACAGAGTATAGCCGAAGAAAACCCGAGTATAGCCGCCCGGCTATACTATTTTTAGAAACAGTGATAAAACCAAGTATAGCCGAACCGAGTATAGCCGTCCGGCTATACTATTTATATACCAAAACCCGAGTTTTAGTTTATTGTCTCTCTCTCCTCTGAGCCGTCGCCTCCTTCGCTCCCTCCCTCCCTCCCTCCCTCCCTCTCTCTCTCTCTCTCTCTCACGACAGACCACCACCACCACCAGGCCTCCACTCCCGAAGACCACCACCTGGCCTCGACCTGCGGAGGGATATGGAGACGATAACGAGAGAGTCTTGGAGGGATATGGAGAGGAGGACTTTCAGGGGTTGGATAAGATAAAAAGAGAACGAAGTTACTATCACTGTTCGTTATCGCTAATTTAAAAACAAAACAAAACAAAAAAATGTTGGAACGGTTCTTTATTTTATTTTATTTTATTTTACTCTCTCTCTCTTTCTAGGTAATTGGCCTAAATCAGGAATACAAATGGCATGCCATTTCTGCTTTGAGTGGGGTAGCATCAGCTAATTGGTCTTTACAGTGGAAAGGAGAGCGTAAAATCACATGATCTTCTGGCAGGAAAAGTTGTCCGTCCCTAAGCTTCCCAATCGTATGAAGCTGCAAACAAATTTAACATTCACATGAGGAGTTAGCACAAAATTAATAGAACATGAAAGAGGGTTGGTGTCATATAAATATATACCTGCCTGCTTGTGAAAGAGTCCAATTGAAATCGAGGCCAACGTTCCATGCAAAGTAGCCAACCAGTCCCTTGCCACTAGCATATGAGACTTTGGTAGTGATACTCTGCGTATCATCATAACCAATCCAAGTTTTCTCAGAACAGGTATAGTCCATAACAAGTGTGGAATTGAACACGGTGTCACAGCTGTACAAGCCCTGATTTGGATATAACCCAGCGCGCCATCTGGCGGTACTGCCATTCCATTGGCTGGCGCAAATATACCATGCTGAATGATCTGGGTCTGTAAGATTCCATGCGTACCCATAAAATGGGAGGCCAAATGCAATCTTTGATGTTGGTACACCTGCCTGAAGCCAAGCACTGAGCCCAGAATCTCCACTTATAGGACTGATTGGGTTGTATAGTGAAGCAGGGGGCCCTGTTACATTGGGTGACCAACCGTGTGCGAATAAGTCATATGCCATCACATCGATCCAGTCCAAGTTGTCTGATATCGACTGAATGGGGTGCAACAATGAGTGATAAGTTGCAGAGTAGTAGAAGCTGCCACTAGAAGCAATGGGGGCCTCCCACTTGTCTGGGACTCATTGGGCACCAAGGCTCGCAACTCTGCGAGGAGGATGCCAAAGTTAGATACGTCAGTGGCCGGGCCGGGGAACTCCCAGTTAATGCCAAGGCCATGGAAGGTATAAGATCTAGAAATGTTTATGGAGGAGTCAATGAATGCTTTGCGGGAGCTTGGTTGGCTAGCCATGGAAGCAAAAGCGGTCTTACTTGCGCCTATTGATAAAATGGTTTTGACTGATGGGTTTCTTAGTTCAACGATGGTTGTGAAATTGGCAAATTGGGGTTGGTCTTGAGTGGAAATGATGACTTGGTTGGTTTGGGAATCAATATAAAAATTGACATGTTTCTTCCAGAAATTCATCTGCATGCTGTCCCATTAAGTCAACATCCGGCTCAGATATTTCAAAAAGGAAATATATATATATACACACACACACTATTGTTTTTAAAGGCGGCTATACTATTTTGTAAGAAACATTAATAACTAAATTTTTTTTCAGAAAAACCGAGTATAGCCGTACGGCTTACTATTTATATAAATAAATAAAAAGACCCGCCTTACAATTAGGGGCCCACGTTTCATAAACTGTATTGCCGACCGGGTATAGCCGCTCGGCTATTTGAAAAAAATAAATAAGAAAAACCCGAGTATAGCCGGACGGCTATACTATTTATAATGTAAAAAAAGCACTCATTGCGGCTGGTCGCCACGTTTCAAAAGCGTATAGCCGGTCGGCTATACTATTTTTTAAAAAAAGACCCGAGTATAGCCGCGCGGCTATACTATACATATAAAACTGACCCGTATAGCCGCGCGGCTATACTATGTTTAAAAAATCTGAATAAACAGTGAAATTAAGACTCCCGTCTGCAGCCTTTGCCTACAACAATTCTAGCTTTTCGAAAGGAAAGTCAGTCTAATTTGAATCAATAACAAATTGATATGTTTCTTACAAGAATTCTTCTGCATGCTGTCCAATTAAGTCAATGATCGGCTTAGATACTTAATTAAAGAAAAAAAACAAAAAAAGACCGGCTCAGATATGCATTTTGCCTCAGTAACAGCTACGTCTTTGTGGCGTGATCAACATTAGTGCTTTGTCTCTTACTTGTTCTAAACCCATCTTTCATGCTAGGACCAAGCACATCGAGTTGGATTATCACTTCGTGAGAGAAGGGAATTGGTCACTAGTAGTTGTAAATCTTTTCAAGTTCAATGTGTTTGTCCTCAAGATGAGATTGCAGATGTGTACTCACCAAGGCTCAAGGCTCAGTGCTTTTTTCGCTTCCACTCCCTCAGCTTGAGGGGGAGCAGTGTAAGTAATATGTTTGTCTAAGATCTGTCCAAATAAGCCAACGAACGGCTTACATACTTGAGGTCAAAAAACGACCGGCTCAGATACAAAAACTATATATATATGCATTTTGACCAAATGTAGTAGTACCTTGTTCTTCTTGGACAAAAATATAACTGCCAAGAGTGTATTTTCAGGGTAGGCTTGGGCTTTCAGAACATGTTCCTTCTTACTTGAATAACTTGTTGGCTCTTCTTTTATATTTTGTTTCCTTGTCCAAGGAAGTAAAAAATGGGCTTGACTTGGTGCAGCTTGGAATTTTGGATTCAACAAGGCGCTAAAGCTTTGTAGCCCAATTTCGCACATTATTTTTTTTCTCATCCACACAAAATTTCCCAAAATGATTCGCTCATCCATACAAAGAATGAACCGATTAAGAAAATAAGAACTCACGGCAACATGTTATTGTTTATTTGGCCTCATTAGCCTTATTGCAAGTAAGGTATTACATTTGCATATATAGATCTAATCCTCATTTTCTCATCCCCAAGTAGTTGAAGCTGCAAGAACAATAGTAAAAACATATGTAGTTAATACATCAGAACATCCATTTGTTAATATACAATAAGATTCCAATAGAGTTAAATATATTTCAACTTAGGATTTACCAACCTGTTTGAGAAAGAGCCCAGTTATTGTCGTCACCACTGACTTGCCATGAGAAGTAACCAAGAAGCCCCTTTTGCTTCGCATATGAAACCTTGGCAGAGATACTCTCTGTGTCGTCATAGCCAATCCATGTTGTCCCAGAGTAGCAGTAGTTTGTAACAACCGTCGCATTGTACACTGTCTGTGTCCCATTCTGGCTTATGAAGTCCCGTATGTCCTTGTAGTTTATGCTCCCATCTGTCCCAATGGCCGGTCCATCAGCCGGAGCAAAAAGGCCATGCTCATCAGCATTCAGCAAACGCCAAGCATACCCATAAAATGGAAGGCCCAGCACTATCTTATCCGCACCCAAACCTGCCTCAATCCAAGATGTGATGCCAGCATCCCCATTAACCTGGCTAGCGGTTACGTTGTACAATGCAGCCGGTGGTCCAGTTCTGGCTCTGCTTGAGTTCCAAGCAGAGCCATAGAAGTCATAAGCCATTACATTGATCCAGTCCAAACTGTTTGATATGGACTCAATGGGGTAATTTATGGTATAGTAATCTGCAGAGTGAAATACTGCAGCGGCTAAAAGCAATTCGGTGTTGCCAGATGTCTGGGACTCATTGGCCACAGCAGCTCGCATCTCAGTGAGAAGGGTGCCAAAGTTGGTCATGTGAGTGGTGGTGTCCGGGTACTCCCAATCAAGGTCAATACCATGGAAGTTGTAGGACCTGGCTAAGTTAATGGAGGAGTCAATGAATGATTTTCGCCTGCTGGGTTGGCTTGCCATTGAAGCAAAGGTGTCTGCAATAGTATCATTGCCTCCTCCACCAATGGACAAGAGGGTTTTCACAGAAGGGTTTTTTTGTTGGACTGTTTGTGTGAAGCCCGAGAATTGGGCTGAGTTTGAGGAAGTAACGGTGACTTGGTAAGTATTGGGATCAAGATTAGCAAATGCACAGAAAAGATGAGTGAAAAGGCTGGAATCTATGCTGGATGCTGGAAATCCGCTGTCCCAATACCAGTAAGCGCCTTTAACCACAGTTTGGCCGGAAGAGACATTGAGTTGGATAAGGAAAAGGAGGGTGTAAAGGAGAAATATTTGAAGGGTTTTGGTTTTCGAAGACATTGAAACAAATTAAGGAGGAATGATCTTTGTTTGCTAGCTATGATTGATATGAAGATCAGCTTCTGCGAGCTATACATACATATAAATAGTCGAATATTGAAGATCTAAACTTTGAAAGAGACTTCCATTGGAGACTTTTGCTGATTTATGTCCTGGTGATGACATATGTAGCTTGAAAGTTTAGATATATTGAAGGTCAGTTACCCGAGTTTTGCAGAAACTGATTGTGGTCTAAAATGTCAGCTTGAAATTATCCAAAAGTAAAGGAGGTACGTCACGTACGTGGATCTTATAAGACAATAAAGGCCTGTTTAGTATTCAACTTGAATCCAACTTTTTAAACTCAAAAATAGAATTTGAGTCCAAAACAAAGAAAACCTGTTTGGTAACCATATTTTTAAAAACTAAAACTAAAAAACACCCCAATTATTAAAAACAAAAAATATCTGTTTTTTTTTTTTTTTTCCTAACAATCCACAAGTTCTCAAAATTTTAAGATTTGAAAATAGTTTTCAAGTTGCATACTAAACAAGTTTTTGAATCTTAAAAATAGATTTAAGAACTCCTTGTTTTTAAGAAAAATCAAAGTTTTTGAGTTTCTTATTTGAATAGGATACCAAACACCCCTAAAATATTTATCTCTAGAAGCCATCCAATAGTATATGCTGTGATTAGCAACTTCTCTCCTGTTCACATCTGGTTATTAGAGTAACTCAATCTAGGCCTGAGATTACTTTGCCCTTTGTGTGGAACCGTCAAAACCAGGTACACAACATACTAATTGGAGGAAGACTTTTCTACTTGTGATATCGCTATGTCAATATCTGCTAACAACCTATTACTCGGTGAGAGAGACCCAATATTTTCATTTTATGGAGACAATTTCACCATTGACCGTAATGTCATTTATGATGCCACCAAGTTTGGTGTACAGTTATGTGGAGATTACTACTTTACAATTCTTCTGTTGGTTGGATATGCAAAAAGTTGTCTTGATTGCTCAACAACCTTAATTTGTGCCTGTTGACTGCAAGGATTGAAATATCGGCCGATACACCGATATGTCTGCCGATATATCGGTATTTTCAACTATCGACACCGATACTGGGGGGTAAGGTCATATCTTCCCCTGTATCGACGATATATCCCCCGATAAGTGCGATATTTCCGATATTTTGCCGATATCTCCGATATTTCCCGATACCCATAACAGAACCCAAAAAAAATTCAGAAGTTTTGAAGGCAATTGAAGCAAATTGAAACCCAAAAATTGATAATCCTTGCCCATACCCTATAATTTATTAATATGAAGAATCTATGCACAGTCCACTGGCCACATACCTTCAATCCATCTGAAGAGGGTTTTGGATTTATGAGCATAGAAACTAGACCTAGTACTAACTCAAATGAATCTTATGATGGCTATGGTTATGTTATGTCTGATTATAGTGGAACTAGTTATGGAGCTCAAGATGATGAAACAGATTATGGACCTACTAGTTGTGTTAATCCTAACTATCCCATATATGGGAGGACAGTAGGGAGCTCGAGAGAGACTTATGTGCCCATATTCTAACATGGCTTACAAACTGCTCGGGTTACATGACTTGGTATGACTATTGTATGAATCTGGATGGTTGTTCCTCATTGTTTGAACCTCATAGGAACTCTTCATTTATGTAGGTGGACACTTATCTAAATTGTAATCTAATGTTTAAACAAACTATGGATTTATGCATGGTTTATTCATTCTAATCAAAAATTTATTTTCAAAATTTTCATTAATTCGCATTACATACCACTTATATTTCATTAATGTATGTCTTATTATTAGTAAATTTTCAGTTTTATTTGTTCAATACATTCATTGATAATGTATATAACATCTATGAAAGTTTTACACCAAGATTATGTGTTTCAATGCCTATATCTGTCTTTTTTGTTGATTTTTTCCTGATACTTAAAACGATAACGATATATCCCCCGAAATATCTGTAAATTGGAGGCCCGATATTATCTGCAAGGCCGATATTTTAATCCTTGGTTGACTGCTAGTTTTTCAATGTCACTGTCTACCTACACAGCGGTACGTCATGTCATGTGTAACAAGAATCTAATCTCTTCATCCAAAGAAGAAGAAGTGAAGTCTTAATGCATTTCTTTCTAAGTTCAGCCATCATCCATCTGCTCTCAAGCATCAGCTTCCTATCCGTACTCCATGGTAGTCAAATTTTCAAGTGTACTACTAGTCCTCCTTTTCTTCCATTTTCTTGTTGCTTTTAGACTGCAAGCCTCAGAGGCACAGTCTTGGATCAAAGCGGCATACTGGTATTCTGGCAGTGAATTCCCCATTGCTGACATAAACTCAGCGCTTTTTACTCACCTTATTTACGCATTTGCCGGTCTTAATTCATCATCCTATGAGCTCTCCCTCTCCTCTGACTCTGAGGAGCAGGATCAGGTGCAGCACTACTCCACCTTCTCATCCACGGTCAAGCAAAAGAACCCATCAGTCACCACCCTCATATCCATTGGGGGTGGAAACGCAGACTACTCAGTCTTTTCAACACTTGTCAGTAATTCTTCTCACAGAAAGACCTTCATTGATTCTTCAATAAAGATTGCAAGGCTTTATGGCTTCCAAGGCCTAGACCTTTGCTGGGTTTCAGCTAACACAAGCTCGGACATGACCAACATGGGAAATTTGTTTCAAGAGTGGCGAGCTGCTGTGAAATCTGAGGCTGCAAACTCTAGCCAGGCGCAGCTGATTTTGACAGCAGCTGTTCAATACAAACCAGATTTGGAGTTCTTTTCTTTTCCGGTTGAATCCATCCGGAACAACTTGAATTGGGTACATGTAATGGCCTATGACTATTATGGGCCTCAGTGGACTAATTTCACCGGCGCTCATGCAGCTTTGTATGATCCATCAAGTGATGCTAGCACAGATTATGGTATCAAGGCATGGATTGGTAAGGGATTATCTGCTTCCAAATTGGTTTTGGGCTTGCCTTTCTATGGCTATGCTTGGAAACTTGTGAATCCTAGGGACAATGGTATTGGTGCACCAGCAACAGGTCCAGCCATTACAGAGGATGGATCCATGAGCTACAAGGATATCAAGGGTTACATTCAGAGATATGGGGCTGACATAATCTACAATGCTACGTATGTAGTTAAGTACTGCATAATTGGATCATCTTGGATTGGTTTTGATGATGCTCAAGTTGTCAAAATAAAAGTTTCTTATGCTAAGGAGCAGAGTTTGCTTGGATACTTTGTCTGGCAGGTTTCCCATGATGACAATTGGGTGCTTTCTCTTGCAGCTGCAGGTAGGAATTGAAGCTCAATAATTATGCTTAGTACTCTACTTGATGAACTCATTTTCTCTGCATATTCCACCATGAAAAGTTAATTTCATTACTCCCATCCCATCTAAAGAAATCAGATTGGTTATTGTTGATTGGTCACTTTACAAAAGAGAAAGTCTGCTAATGCAATGCTTTAGTGTCTATTGAAGTTTGTTGTAAATAAAAGTCAGAAATTAAAAGTATGAGCTGATATTGAAAACAGAAAATATGATTCGCTGTCAAAATTGCATTGCGCTCTCAGCCATTTAGCAGTCAAGACAGGAGAATAAAATAATTGGTTTCTGTTGAAAATGAAATGAAGATGACCACTATAATTCTTTACTGCAAACTAATGAACAAGATACCCATATAAGTCACCGTCCAATAAAAGACTTGGAGTTTTACATTGGAAAATTCAACCATCGCCTTATTTATATTTCCCCTGTAATGAAGGTTAGCTCACAACTTATTTATATCTTATTGTTGCTGCCATAGAAAGTCCCATACTACAGTCAGCTGACAACTTCCAAGATATTTAATGCATTCTTCCCTAACTGCTACATTGAATTATATATGCTGATCACAGCTACAGCTCAAGAGCGTGCAAGCAGTGGACAAAAAAAGCGGCGACTTCTTATAATCATTTTGACTACAATAGCTTCAGTTATTCTCATATTAGGCTCCGTCATGTGTTATTTCCGCATGAGAATGCTCAAGTCAAAAGGTAAATATCTTTATTCTTATTTTTGTTCGGCCTGAAAGTATTGAAGCATTAACTATTCACCTCTTCGAATATGTATTTTGGATTTATGTATTATCTATAACTCTTTTTTTGAACGAACGTACTATCTATAACTATGGAGGAAGAATTGGATCTTAAAGATCTTCAGCCAATTCTTTGGCAAATGCAGCTAAAGAATCAGAATACAGGGCAAATTATATAGCAGACACAGCTGGAATTTTTAATAGCAATGTACCCAATCTGCAAGTCTTTGGCATTGCTGTCATTGAGGCAGCAACAGAAGGATTTTCAATTGAAAATAAGCTTGGAGAGGGTGGTTATGGTCCAGTTTATAAGGTAAACTTTTATAATGGGGCATATCATGGCACCAGCTTGTCCCCATTAAACATGCTAACCATGAGTGTCTACATAACTTGCTAGGGTGTATTGCCAAATGGACAAGAAATAGCTGTGAAAAAACTTTCGAAAGCTTCAACTCAAGGATTTGAGGAATTCAAGAACGAGGTCATGCTTACAGCAAAACTACAACACGTTAATCTTGTCAGGGTTCTGGGATTCTGTATCGAACACCATGAACAAATGCTGATTTATGAGTACATGCCAAAGAAAAGCTTGGACCTCTACCTCTTTGGTAAGTCAATATGAGATTTCTCTGCTTTTGTGCAAAAGATGACAATCCACTAGTTCCTGGTGGTTTCACTTCCTTGTGCCACACAGCTTTAAGCTGAACATAGTGTAAGCTTGTAAGGGATGTCCTATGGGGTCTCTACTATTCCATGCATTTTTCAGTATATTTCAATGCAGAACTGATTGGACAGCATCTGTTTCAATGTAGATCCTATCAGAAGGTATCAACTAGATTGGAGAAAGCGTGTTAGCATTATTGAAGGGGTTACTCAGGGACTTCTTTATCTCCAAGAATACTCAAGATTGACAATAATCCATCGAGATCTGAAAGCTAGCAACATTTTACTTGACGAGGAGATGAGGCCTAAGATCTCAGATTTTGGTATGGCTAGAATTTTCACAAAAGATGAACAAGAGGCAAACACAAGCCGGATCGTTGGAACATAGTAACTCTATTTCCTAATAAAGCTACTTTTTTAATTGAGCTTTCTATTATTGGATACTTTGGTAAGTAATCTTCTAAATCATTCTGTGCAGTGGCTATGTACCTCCTGAATATGTTAAAAACGGTCTATACTCCACGAAATCAGATGTTTATAGCTTTGGAGTTCTCCTTGTACAGATCATAAGTGGCAAGAAGAATGCCGCTTTCTATGGTCCAAATGAAGACTTAAACCTTCTAGAATATGTAAGTTACTTCAATAAGCACAGTTACATCAGAATTAATATTTGCTTCAGCTTTGCTAAGAATTAAATCTTCACGTTTCAATTACATGGTGGGGAACATTCAATAATTTCAGGCACATGAACTTTGGAAAGAAGGCAAAGGGATGGAGTTTATGGATCCTTCACTTGATGATACACATTCATTATGTAAATTGATGAGATGCTTGCAGATTGCTCTCCTATGTGTTCAAGAAAATGCAAATGATAGGCCCTCCATGTTGGAAATTTCTTCGATGCTACAGAGTGAAAGTGCTGTAATGGAAAAACCGAAAATGCCAGCTTTTTCAAAAAGAAATGAAGACAAAGAAACTAATCCTGCACCGCGGCTAGAAGTGTGTTCCATTGATGATTCAACAATCTCAGAGGTTGTAGGACGATGAGTGGTGGTACATGCTCAGTGCTTTGTAAAACAAAGTTCAATCAGATTTTCAATTCTTTTTCCTTTTACTCTTAGGCATAACCGCTTTGCCACTAGTCAAACTATTCTTAGAATTTATTAGTCATGTATTTCCTAGTAAGTTATTAGGTGTATATTACATTAATGCAGTCTACTTACTACAAAGTTGGTAAGGGGAAGAGGTCCCTCAGGAGTCACAATATAATGTTGCAGAATTTGGAATTATAGGTTTCTTTAGTTTAGGCATGAAGTGAACCAATTATGAGTTTGGGGTGGTTCTGTTCTGTTCATCTATGAGTCTACCAACGGAAGTTTATTATGTGCTGCGAGTTTTACCGATGTTTCTTTATCTACCAATGTAATTGTTTACTGTAAATGTAATATGATTATGAAGAATAAGATTCCCAAAAAACCCGTCACAATCCAATACGAAAACTTGGACTTTTGTGTGGAAAATTCATTTATATTTGCCCTGCAGTAGAAGGTTGGCAGCTCAATGTCAATACTAGAAAACAATGAGCTCACTCATTAACAAAAGAAACACACACAGACAAACATCTTACTACAAACTTTACAAAGCGAGAGCTCCAGGCTAGCAGTACAATGAGTTGACAACTTCCAACATCTCTATGGCATCTCTATGCATATTATATTCTCACAGCTTACTGAGCTTTACACGTTTCACCTCTTAAAAAAGAAATTTTGATTTTTCTATTATCTGTACTATATGAATGCATGATGAAGAATTACATCTTATTAAAGAGTACAAATCGCCTCTGATTAGGCTAAATACAAATGGCACTACATCTTGATCTTCTCATTGATAGGAAAAGTAGCTAGTGTAGTGTCCCTAATATGCTCCCCATGCGCATGAAGCTGCAAACAAATTTGACATTCACATTAGGCATCAGTAAAGTACAATTAATTAACGATCAACTATATATATACAAATACAAGAACATGAAAGAGGGTTGTTGTCAATGTCATATATACCTGCTTGTGAAAGAGTCCAATTCACATCGATGCCAACATTCCATGCAACGTAGCCAACTAGTCCCTTTCCCTTAGCATGTGAAACTTCGGTAGTGATACTCTGCGTATCATCATAAGTTCATAACCAATCCAAGCAGGGGCGGAGCTATTCATAGGCCTGAGATGGCCTGGCTCCCCCCCCCCCACAAACCATCTTCTAACCTCTTTGACTATATAAAGAGTGTAGTATAGATTGCACAAAAAATCTCATAGTTTTAAGCTTGTGGCCCCCCCCAAATATCAAACTCTACCTCCGCCACTGAATCCAAGTCTTCCCAGTATGGGAATAATCCATTATCCATAACCAGTGTGGAATTAAACACAGTTGGTGCACCATTCTCAGCTATATATGCCTTGATCAGGTTGTAACTGGCTGACCCATCCGGCGGCACTGCCATTCCTTCGGCTGGTGCAAAAATACCATGCTGATTTGGGTCTGTTAGGTTCCATGCATAGCCATAAAACGGAAGGCCAAATGCAATTTTTTTCGGAGGCATACCTGCCTGAAGCCAAGCAGTGATCCCAGAATCCCCACTGATAGGACTGATTGGGTTGTACAAGGAAGCAGGGGGTCCTGTTACATTGGGAGACCAACCAGGGGCAAAAAAGCTATATGACATCAAATTGATCCAGTCCAAGTTGTTTTTTATGGACTGAATGGGGTGCAACAATGAGTTGTAAGTTGCAGAGTAGTAGATCGCTGCCACTAGAAGCAGTAGGGGCTTGCCAAATGGCTTGGTCATTGGTCACCGCGGCTCGCCACTCTGCGAGGAGGGTGCCAAAATTGGCCATGTCAGTGGCCGTGGCTGGGAACTCCCAGTCAATGTCAAGGCCATGGAAGTTATACGACCTGGAAATGTTTATGGAGGAATCGATGAATGTTTTGTGGGAGCTTGGTTGGCTAGCCATTGAGGCAAAAGCTGCCCTACTGGAAGCTGATGCTCCACCTATTGATAAAATCTTTGTTGGACTTGTGCGTGTGAAGTTGGAGAATTGGGGTTGGTCTTGAGGGGAAATGATGACTTGGTTGGTTTTGGGATCAACATCAGCAAGAGCAAGAAACAAGTGAATGTATAAGGTGGAGTCTACGGCAGAAGCCGGATGAGATGCCACTGACGGTACCAGTAACCTGCTTTAACAACATTTGTGCCACTGCCAGCTGCAGCTGCAGATATAATGTGGACAAGGAAAAACAAGGAGGGCCAGAAGCGAAAAAGTAATGGTTGGGTTTTAGAATCCATTGAGATTGAGTTGTAGAATGATTTGCTGCGGCAGCCCGGCATCCTTTTATCGCTGGATTGCTCTAGTATTCTAATGGCTAGGCTCATAAGTTTGAACTTGAAATTAAGTTGATAGTCGTAAGAAATGAACCCACTAGTTCTATTAAACTAGACTGTTGATATACAAACTAAACTATAGGCGTTGAATTTAAAACATATATGCCACTAATATCTCATCTATCAAGCTGCCGGCCTTTGGTTTAACACAAAAGTATTTGTGTGGCCTGCCTGCGCGCGGACATTCACAAAATTGCCTGCATACAGTTTGAGGCTTTGCAACGTCTGCACAGAACTGATTAATGAAGAAGAAAAGTTAACATTCTCTTGACCAATATTCTAACCGAGTCTCAGCAGCAGCATTAGGATTTCGTTTTGAACCGGAATTAATTTGAATGGGTCGTTAGACTTTACATTAGAATGATAATTTAACAGGAAACAAGCTTTATATATTAGCAAAATGGAATTAATATAATGACTGCCAACCGCCAAGAATGTATTTTGGAGCCCAGAAAACAAAACAAAAAAGACTTTAGAGGCCGCGGTTAAGTAACCATAATTAATTAGTGACACTTAACCCAAGTATGTCCTGATCTGCAAAAGTACGAACTGGCAAAAACATCGAGGGTATTATTGGGTTTTCACTTTTCATTTGTGAGCTTATTTCTTTCTTCTCTTTCTTTATAGAAACAGAAAGAAACAAAAAGTGGAAATGAATGGCATACGCGATGTGTTTTAATCTGAAGCCTGTATGAAGTCTAGAGTTGGCAAAAGAAGGGCTCCAGGAAAATTGTCTCTTGGCTTGCCATCGCTTTCGTGGCCAGACAAACTTTTCAAAGAATTTACATTTCACAAATAGTTTGGTGGCAAAAGTGTTCCATTCCATGCCACGTGCGTCTTCTTCAACTTAATCCAGAGACTTGCTTGTGGCATGATTACTCCATTTCACACACACCCTCCTCATCCTGCTGATTTATTTAATCCAGAGACTTGCTTGATTGATTGGTTTGGCTGCAATGCAATCTCCATTAATCTGTCCAGTCCAATATCTTGATTTTCCTGCAAATGCAGACAAGGCAGCCATGCAGAGTTACGGCCAAACTAGGGCCGCCACTATAAAATATCTGCTTAGATCACATACGGAAGGTAAGTGGTCTCGTATAAAGTATGTTGAAGAATACACACAGTCCCACATCGGATACTTAACAAAATATAAAGTCTCATATAATAAATAGCTTCACTCCTAATAACATCGAGACCCCCCACACCTTCTAAATAGGTGGTGAAGTTATGGACAATATCGATGTTGCTAGTAGTAGGCCAAGGGGTCCGTCCATCTAAAATATAGTCTTTCCACAAAGATTGTAATTTCCTATTAAGTACCACTTATGATATTCAATTTTCTTCAATGTCTTAGTTTTCTTCTCCCTTTTTAATTAACTAGCTTTATATCCATGGGATCAAAAAATGTCACCCACCTTTTCCTCGTCATCTTCCTTATTTCATCTCAGTTTTATTGTTGTTTCTCTGCACAAACTTGGATCAGAGCTGGTTACTGGTATGTCGATAGCGAGTCCCCGATACCTGACATAAACTCTGCCTTGTTCACTCATCTTATTTGTGCCTATGCTGATCTAAACTCCTCCACCTACCAGCTCTCCATCCCTTCCTCTCAGGAGCCATCCTTCTCCAGCTTCACCGGTATCGTCAAGGGCAAAAACCCATCAGTCATAACACTCCTGTCCATCTGGAATGGACTAGCTGCAACAAATCAATCAATTTTGGGTGAGAAAGCTAACTCTTCAGTCTTGTCCTCAATGGCCAGCAAACCTTCCAACAGAAAGTCTTTCATTGAGTCTTCAATCAAAACAGCAAGGCTTTATGGCTTTCAAGGTATAGACTTGCTTTGGCTTTGGCCTAGGACAACCTCTGATATGATCAACATGGGAAAGCTATTGGATGAGTGGGGGGCTGCTGTGAATTCTGAGTCAAGAAACTCTAGTGATCAGTCACGCTTGATATTGACAATGGCGGTTCGTTATCTGCCTGCTTTCGAATCGTTGAGTTACCCGATTGAATCTATGAAGAGGAATTTGGATTGGGCACATGTTGTGGCATACGACTATCATCTACCTGCTAAGGAGAATGTTACTGGTGCTCATGCTGCTTTATATGACCCGTCAAGCCATGTTAACACCAACTATGGTATAAAGCAATGGCTAAACAACTCATTTCCTGCTAGCAAACTGGTTTTGGGTTTGCCTTACCATGGCTATGCGTGGACACTTGTGAACCCCAAAGACAATAATGGAATTGGGGCACCTGCAGCCGGAAAAGCTGAGACGAAAGATGGATCCATGAGCTATAAATACATCAAGTGGTACGTTAGAAGCTACGGAGCTCCCATATTGTATAATGCTACTTATGTTGTGAATTATTGTATCATAGGATCGAATTGGATTGGTTTTGATGATTTGGAAGCTGTCAGAACTAAGATTGCATATGTCAAGGAGAAGAAGCTACTTGGTACCAATGTGTTTCAAGTCACCAATGATGACAATTGGGCACTTTCTCGGGCAGGTTGGCCAAAGTGATTTTTGATGCTATGTTTTTGACATGTCATAAAACTCAATTTTATATACTGAAGGAAGTTTAATTTTGACAGCAGGCTATCTGCATAAATCAACTTATTTTCTAATGGAGATCCATTTATTCTACTTCTAACTGGTTTAGTAAATGACAGTTCAAGAGGAAGAAAATGATCAAGAAAACAAGCGGCGGTTATTGCTTATAGTTTTGCTTCCAATTACTTTGATCATAATCCTCATAGCCTTCGTGGTGTGTTACTTACAAAGAAAATTGTTGAAGACAAAAGGTTATTTTTCTCACTGTTATTGTTTGTTTCGAATAGAAATT